GAAACGCAAAAGAAAAAAAATTCGGGGTTTTTTCTTGTATGTACGAATGTGTGTGGGGGCAAGATATTGTTCGCCTTCTTTGAAGCTTAATAACTAGTGATGTAACGAATATTCGGTTACTATTCGGTATTCGGCCTATTTTTCGCTATTCGGCCGAATACCGAATAACTAAAAATAGGAGTAAGAAATAACAAAAGCACAGTAAATTAATCATTTTGGTATTTAGATTTAATGCTATCGGGTTAATGTTCTTTGTTTATATTTATTTATAATTGATAACATGCACAAAATAAAAAAGAAAATAATATTAGTCACATGTATTCACAATTTATAATTACAAAGATCAACACACTACACCTATTCGTTCGAGAATCGTCGCACATCTGAAGATCTGATCCTGCCTATCCTTCTTTTTAAGCGCTCGTCTTTGCTCTTCACTTTCTCTTTCCTCTATTGCTCTAGTCCACGTATGCCTATGCATACATCATAATACGCGCTCACGATACTTTCGATTCGTCACTTTTCCGTCGTAGATTTCCCATTTTACAATTACGTGACTCAGCCTGGTGATAACGGAGAAAAGAGACAAATAGGGAGTCAGTATAAGTCACTGTTATGATTTCACAGATTCGTAACAGCTTGGTAGCCCGAACGACCCCAGGCTTTCGCCCGTGCACGCTAAGTGACTTTCATTACAAGCATTTAACTTTCCGAAGTCTATGACAACAATTGTTTGGCATTCATGGCCGCAAATTTCGCGCCAATAACTGCCTCGAACAAGTCGATTATGATATCAACTCAGTTTCATATTTATTTTCAGATTTTCACTTCTCTGCTCTTCTTCCGTTATTTACACGTGTAGGTCATTTCATTGTTATCCACATTTGATATCATCACTTATCACATACTGCCATGACGCTCTTGTCTGAACTGTCAAGAATTAACGCGATTGGCGAAGCGTAGTGACAGTGAGCCAATAGAGAGCAGGGTGTTTGCCATAATGCGGTTTGCGCGCCAATTTTCGTACGTGCGTTAATCGAGCCAAATAGTTCGGCCGAATATTCGGTATTTGGCCTGAGGCCGAATATACTATTCGTTGCAACACTATTAATAACTCCTATGCTTTATGTCCAAAATTTCTGAAATTTTACAGGGAAGTTCGTTTATTAGGGGATTGATGCTATTAAATTTTGGTGATTAAAAGTCGAGGGGTGGGGAGTTAAATGGGATCGTGTGTATCTCTAGTAGGGTAAAACTTAATGACGATTTTATTCGTTATTATAGAGACGTTGCGGCCGAAGTTTTCATCTCTAAAACGTGAACGTCGAACGTTGAGCGCCACCATCTTGTAAGTCTAGAAGTTTGACAAATGCGTTTGGAACGTCATTGGAATCATGCTCGACGTTCCAAACGCCTTTGTCAAACTTCTAGACTTACAAGATGGCGGCGCTCAACGTTCGACGTTCACGTAAACTTCGGCCGTAACCTCTCTATTAGCATTTAGATTTTTTTTAATATAAAACCCATTCCTACCCTCAAATTAAGCTTTTTTCCATTTTACAAGTTAAAAATATAAAAAGTATTTTTAATAAAATTTGATAAGAGATGGCGCAACCAAAGATTGCCGGAAAAGTTAGGCAACTCGTTGTTGGATTTTTTTTCTCTCTCTCTATATATAGCTATCAAAGCTAGACGAATAAACGAGTGTCAAAGAGAATGGTTTTTGAAAAATTCTTAATTAATTTTAATTCCGAAATGTGTATGGTTAAAGTATTTGTGATACCAGGGCAATTCTGCTTTCCTATCTGTGATTTTTAGAGATTTAAGTATTAATTAACGAGCAGTTATCTATTGTGACATCGTCACAATGCCGGGCTGCAATTTTTAATTTATTTAAAGTACAGTGGGTAATCGGTTAACGAACATAATCCGTTCCAAGACTTCGTTCGCTATCCGAATTGTTCGTTAACCGATTATCGATTTACCATAGGTTTTAATGGGAATTTAATTAATTCGTTCCGGAGACCCCCAAAAACAAAAAAAATATATACTTTCTTACTACGTTTATTGAGGCCTATATGTAATAATAAAAATACATATATACACGGTCTTGCATTTTTATTGGTCATGTTTTTTCCGTTTGAAAGGGTTAAAGAATCTGTCCAATGTCGATTGCTTTTCTCTCTTCTTCAGGATTTTTTGGAAGTAATTAATAGCATTGTAATTGTAGAGATCCCAAGCCATTTGGATGACTGTTGTTCTGGCATCCTCCCACTTCTTCAAAAGATCTTTAATAGCAGATATCGGCATTAATCCTCTTTTACAGAAGAAAACATATATCGCCGAGTTTCTTGGTGTTCTTCGTTCAAGAGTTCTTGGCGTTCTCCTGTCGTCAGATCCGTTTCAGGTTCCATTATGAACTCTTCGATTTTCTTTATTTCTCAGATGTGATTTTTGTTACTCCTTTAGCTGCTCGAGTCTTCTTGATTATACAGTATTTTTCTTAAATAAGATTGAACTGCGGCCTACTGTATTCACGCCATACTGCCCAGCAACATTAGGCATCTTCCGCCCACTCTCTACCTTCGTTATTATACTCTCACCTTTCGGAAAGAAAAACACGCAAAACTTAACGAGTGCCTACTCGACAGTCTCGCGAATACATAAAAGAATTGTTTTGTCAAAAAAATAAAAAGCTGGAATTACAAGGGAGAGTTTCAAAGTTCGGAGGAATAATATCCGATCGGTATATACCGTCTTGAGCGTCGATGTCGACGTCTCCCACACTCCGAAAAGTTTCGAATTGTTGCCCGAAGACCAATCGGTATTCATTATTTTACATCGCTTCTTCTTGTGTTTGTTCTGTGGGGTGTTCGTTATCCGAACATAAAAATCTTCGCGAAAGTGTTCGTTATCCGATCTGTTCATTAACCGATCACCCACTGTATATGCTTTCCACCTCAAATTAGTAGTGTCTTGCCGCTGTACATCATATTTTTCCAGCTATTAATAGAGTCGTGCCGGTCATATCTAACTCCTTTCAGAAAAAAATTTTTGAATTGAAATAACGTGATTCTGTTACAAACCGAAAATGAATTTCGTATCCAGTCATAATTTTCTATTATATTTAAGGAAAGGAATTTGCAATCTTTTCTTCCAGTAGTGTTGTGTTGTTTTAACGGAAATAATTCTCTCGACAATTTTATTATGAAGCGAGGGAGGCATTTTTTGTCTGCTTTGTAAACTGCACATTTCCAACTTACAGTGTTAAATTATAATTTCCTTCTATTGGGTTGAGCGTATTTTTAACAGCTGTCGTTACTTAACAACGATGTGTGATTTAATTATAACAGTTGTAAAATTTAACACTTTATTGTTAATGTGAGATTGTATTCTTTGTTTAGAAAGGTATTTTAACATTTTTATTTCACGTTTTGTTTGAATAAAACAAGCATATTGGGCACATTCTTTATGAGTTTCGGAAAGGATATAACACCGTACAAACAGTAAATAATATTCGTAATGTGCACGAAATAATCCATTTATGAAAAATAGTTAAAATGCCATTCTAAAAATAGCATCTTGAGGAAGAGGCTTATTTTTAGAATTGCATCTTAACTCTCTTCTAATACAATTTCTCACTCTATTATAACGATTCTTCTCGTTGTAATGATAAGGAGGTCACCAATTAATGAATGCATTGCAATAAAACCGAATCTTTCCTTAATTCGTAAATACTATTTAAAATATCAGATAAATGTAAAATAATTCTAAAATACGATTCAAAGACATTTTATACTCGTTTAAACGTTAATTCAGTTAAAATTTTGTAATTCATCATCACAAATTTAATATTAAACGTCGATTTTAAGCCTTCACGCGACATTTCGAGTGTTCTACAGACTCGAGGAGGAATACAAAGCTCAATTGTAACGAACTAAACACGTGGACAGACATCTGGACGAGATGAATGACTTCACACCGACATCCTCTCGCCTTTTATTATCGAATAAGCAGTAGACTTCCCTCCTCGCTACCGACTCACTACATAGAAATAATTAACATTTGTAGCAATTGTTACGAATTAAATTAAACAATTTTTTGGATTTTTGTAATTAAAAAAATTTCCATTCTGCGAATAATTTTTCCATTTTTCAGAATTCGAAATCGTAGAAATTGACTAAAGTAAGAAAACTTCGAACTGTAAAAGGGTCGAAATGGATTTGCTTTCTATTTATTTTATTTCTTAAAAAAGTCTTTTAGAAAATACTGATAAACATTCCTCTCTCCTCCGAAAGAATAAGCTTTTAGTGACACAATTTGGTGCTTTCGGAATGGTTTGATAAGGAAGTGTTTTGACTTAGAAAATTCAATTTTTTTAATGTAAAAGTAAAAGAATTTAATTATAAAGTTAAATGAGTTTCCTTGTGAATATTCTCAGCTTAAGAACACTAAATTGAATGCATACCACTTTTTATATTGAAATTTAGAAAATAAGACATAAATCAGGGGATCGAAAAAACTGGTCTCCTCATTATATACTTCAGTCGCAGATGTTTTTAGAAACAGATGTTTACTGCTGGATTCCATCCCTTTCTTATAACATAAATTAATTCGAGTAAAACGATAATTATTTTAATGATTCCACGGCAAAATACGTTAAGACCAACATCAATATGTCTCGTAGGTGCACACACCGAAGCTCTGTAAAATAGCGTTATACACGGGTAACGTGGGCGCCAGGTGATGCGGAACTCATTGTCTTTATTTATGCAAGAAGAAAAACACAAAAAAGAACAAAGTAGCTGCACGGGGAGGTCGTCCAGCAACTCCACAGGTGGTGAGTGTTGCTGCAAGTCAGCTGTACGCCCGACACGTGCCAGAAGTGTGCCAGCCAGACCTTCCTCGCTCGGCAGATGTTAGCGAATGACGTCACCAAACCTGCCCTTCATAATCGTCTTCCCGCTCTTTTCGAGTCATTCCTACTAAAGACACGAGAAGCAACACGTTATCGCACACTAAAATGGGATCTGTAGTGTACTGCATTCATTATAAGGACGGTTGCAAGTGGTCTGACGAGTTGAGGAAATTGCAGGTAAGTTACTAGTTTCTCGATTTAAATTAAAATATATTATCTATGTATTATGTTTTTAATAAAATTATCTCCGTAGGGACATCTAAATACTTGCAAGTACGACGCTATCCCGTGTCCAAAATTATGTCCTGCTTCCATCCCTCGCGTTCTCATGGAGGATCATTTAACTTATACTTGTCCTAAAAGGATTAAATACTGCGATTATTGTAACGAATACTTCTCCGCTGAGGATTTAGAGGTAATGTTTATCTTCTTTATTTTTAACTACCGAATTACTATTTTATAGATATAGAGATTAAATAAGCGCATATTTTTTCTAGAATCACACCGCGGTCTGCCAAGTGGAATCTATTTATTGCGAAAATAAATGTGGATCTATTGTTCAGAGACAATTTTTGAAATATCACCAAAGTAACGAATGTGTTAAGAGATTAGTTCCGTGTCGTTATTGTCAAAAAATGTTCGTCTTTGATACCCTTAAGGTATGTAACTCTATTTTTTCCTGTGTTTGAATCAAGCTATTTGACATGGATCTAACATAGAAATAATATTTTTAGAATCACAAGTCCAAATGTCCACTCTACCCTTTAGCATGTCCCAATCAGTGTGGTGAAACAAATATTTGCAGACAAGATATGGAAACTCATCTGAATCAACAATGCGATGCACTTACCATAGAGTGCGCCTACAGAGACGTTGGTTGCAGTTTTAAGGTAATTATAACCACGGCATACTAATGAATATCTGTGTATATATTCCATTCGCTCAACATAAATCTATTTGCGTTTTTTCAATCAGGGTTCTCAGACTTCTTTAGATAAACACGTGGAAGAAGATACAAAACGTCACTTAAAGCTGATGTGTGCTGCATTAACTAAGCAACAATATCAGATTACCAAACTCTGCGCGGTTCTTCACGATCTTCACGTTAACACAACGGGCACTTTAGTATGGAAGATTACAAATTATTCTAAGAAACTTAAAGCTGCCAAACTGACGGAGGATTACGAATTGTGCAGCAGTTCATTTTATACTAGTCAATACGGATACAAACTGATGGTCACGTTGTTTCCAAACGGCAACGGAACAGGACTCGACACTCACCTGTCCATCTACATAAAGCTGATACCTGGAGAATACGATGCAATTCTGCCGTGGCCATTTTCTCTGCCCATTACTTTCACTCTCTATGATCAACCCGACGATCCTCAGATGGCTCGAAACGTATGCGAGAGCTTTATTCCCGATCCTTCTTGGAAGAATTTCCAGAAACCCAGTGGAGATCCCGACGAATTGGGATACGGTTTTCCTAGATTCGTTTCTCACGATCTTTTATTTCAGAAATCTTACATCAGAAATGACGCTCTTTTCTTGAAAATCAAAGTGGAAGACCTCAAAGTGTTCGCAGTTTAAATAATTTTAACATAATGATATCTAGTCACGTTTCATTATACAAAACTAATATATTTTGTATTTATAACTTTGTTAATACCACATCACGGTTTGTAATTATACATAAAGATAAATTAATAAATTAATTTGTAAAGAATTCTATTTGGAAGACTTTCTGATCTTAAATGGAAAAAATCCAGCAAAGAGTTGCTTAACTTTCCCTGCAACCAAAGGTTGCAGGGAAATATAAAACGACAAAGAGCTTAATTTTGAGGGTAGGGATGAATTTTATAAAAAATTGTAACTGCTGTCCGACCCCATATGTCTAGTCTAGTTTTGCGAGTAACAACACGAACGTACTGAGATCATCACGTGGTTATAACTCATTCATTGAGACTATTTACTGAACGAGTTCGTTACACGATACTCAACATATTTGTATTGTTACTCACATAACTGGTGACTAAGGCACCTCTATTAGAGATAAACACGACCCCATTTATCTCTCCACTCCCTCGACCTTTAATCATCAAAATTTAATAGCATCAGTCCACCTAATAAACAAACCTCTCGGCTAAATTCCAGAAATTTTCTACAAAAAACACAGGAGTATTAAGCTTCAAAGGCGGCGAACAAAATCGTGCTCCCACACACCAACATACATACATAAATTACCCCATAATTTTTTTTTGCATTTCTCGACGTTTCAACGTTCCGAGTCCGAAAATGTAGAAATCGGGGGAGGGGTCATTTTTTGACGATCGTTATACTTCTTCTCTGTTATATAAAAGCCAGAAAAGTAAAAACGAATAAATCGCGAACACTTTTATTGTTTGAGATCATAAACTTTCATGCACGACAAACGGACATGCGACCCGACTTTTTGCTTTATGATATGAATTATTCCTTTTCAAGAAAATCATTTACTCGCTTCCAATGGCCACTAAGAAGTTCGTCGAACTGAAATTAAAGCGGAATTTTCGATTTAGTTAACAGATTAAGTTTTATCTGTAAATTTGTTAAATATAATCGATATATTAATAGATATTGAACTAATGTCACTTTTATCGTTCAGAATGTTAACAGAATCCTCCTGAAACCTCTTCTATCTTTCTGCTTTGTTCCCTTTTCTATAGCTTAAATCTCCTAGCTTTCTTTTCTATTTTCACTTTCTGAACTCATTCCAAAAATATAATTCTAACTAAATAAACTCTGGAAGATATTAAAACTGTTTAAGTATAAAACAGATTCCTATTCAGATTTTTCTAACAAATTTCAAATACTGTATATGAATTGTGTATCAAATATAGGGATATCAAATCTTCAAAGTGTTAATGCCAACATTTTTACCACAGTAGTCTAATCTATTGTTACTAGAAATGAATGAATTCAATCTATTATGAATTGATTAGATGAGAATTGAGAATTCTTAAATACAGACCAGAAATTTTAGAAACGAGCTTTATTCAAATCCAATTTAGAATTTTAAATCTTTGATTATTAAACACATTTAGGACTTTCTTTGAAATAAAGTTTTAAGTATACAAAAGTTTTAAAATACAAGAAGACAACTAATTCTTTACAAATGTTAAAATGTTACCATAAAATGAAAAAACCCTTCGCTATCAATTGATGTAGTTTTGATGGTTTTGAGTAAAGTTTTTATATATTTTCACTGCGTTTGGGTGCCAATACTGCCAGTTTTATTTCTTTGGCTTTGAAATTTACTTTATTTATTGTTTGAATAGTTAAAGTATTAATTATTAGTTAAAATCTTCATAACTCTGGGTCATTTTCCCTAAGCTTAAAGCCTAAAAATGCCAAAATTTTTGAAGGTTTGAAGCTTCAAAGGCTTCAATTGATATCCCTAAGAAAATATAATTTTTTATCTATTTAAAATAATCAAGATGATCAAATAAACTTTCAATTATGGCCATTTTTTCTGAAGATTTCAGAAGTTGCACCAAAGCAACCTGGAGAAGAAAACACTGATTTCTGTTCTCAAACTAGATTTAGATATTCAAGTTTGAATGTTTTAATGAACAAGAAATATTTTAGATTTTCTTTTGGATGGGCATGTTAATATAGTAATGTCTCTTTTTTTTGAATTAATTAATTAAAACACATGAGTATGACAAAATGCTGATTGTTAATGTTACCTAAGTTAGTGTTTAACTTGATATCTGACATAAAAATGACAAATTTTGTACATTTTGACGTTAATTAATGTATATAATCCGAAGTAATACATATATATAATTATGTACTTGTAATTTATTTAAACATGTTTACTGTAATAAATGCTAAGTTTTTGTTTTATTAAAATATAACTGTCTTGAATTATATTCACTGGCAGTTGTATTGAGTGAAATGCAAATGATGCACAATTGTCACTGAAAATATGAATGACAGTTATTAAATTACAAAAATTAATAAACGAAAATTAGTTGAAAATGTAAATCTACATAATATGTACACAATACAAATTAGTCTTTTATATTTTGTAAAACTGAAGGTGTAAGAAATTTACAGATTACATATATGAACATCTGGAAACACAAGTTTCTCCTAAATAAATTCTACTAAATGAGGTGGTAAATAAAGTATAAACAAAGGACAAGTATTAAAGATGGCAAGTGTTTGTCTCTATCATTCATGATGGGCAAACTGAGCTTGACTTTCATCATTGACTCAACAGACAAGGGTGGGTTTAGCCTTCCTAACCTCTGGGCTTCTTAGTTCTTTATATTATTCCTCAGTTTTTTCTTTCAATATAGCAAAATCTTAATCCACAGAGTCTATCCATGTCAATCTTTGCCTTCCTCTTTTTCTTTTATCCTTTGACTTTGTCAATATTATTTTTTAATTATATGCACCAATATAAATAGAAATAAACATCATATCCTAAACAGATTAAATTTAAATACAGGACAAATCTCAACACAAAATAAACAAATAAAGTAAATTAAAACTAAATTAATTTTAATAGAAATAAAAAACATTTATATTTATTCTATTTAATTTGTTGTATTTATTCTGTTTAAGAATGTTACTTGATTTTGTATTTCAATCTGTTCAATGTTGATTTTTGTTTGTAATCTAAAGATGGAGTAAATCCATTTTAAAAAGTGTTTATATATTAAATATTTTCTGACTTTAATCACATTATAAATCTAAGAGGAGTATACCTAAGAAGCATCCAAAAATTACTGGCAGTAGTGCTATATTATATATAAATTGATTTCTTATGTCATTTCTGTTTCCATATAATCCCTTGCCTTGATCTGTTTTCATATCTCTGGCAAGTGACTAACTCCATCAGCAGCATCATTTCTGTAGATATCCCTTAGAGAGAGTTAAATGTTACAAATGATGTCTTGTTGACTACTATACTGTACAAATACACCTACAACTGCCATAAATGATTGGGCTAAATTTTGGATAAATGATTATAGATAAGAAATGAATTTGGCACTAGAGTGAGGCATTAGGCACCATCTCTTATTAAAATTAATAATTATAATTTAATCTTTAACTGTCTACTCAGACATAGCTTATTAGTAGGACGTTACACTGGTGTTTAATAATTGATACAAAACTGACAGTTAGATCAGAAAAATAAAACTTTTATTAAAATTCACCTGTAGTAGTAATTTTTTCTGTGCATATATACATACACAAAGAAACTCTGCAAAAATGGGCCTCATCCTGTAGATCTGTAGCCAGGAGGGCCAGACAGAAACCCATCACTTACCTGAAGTTATTGATCAGATTAACATTTTTTCTGTACACATATACATATACGTGTTTTGGGTAAACATACTCCTCATCAGCAGTATTACCAAAAACAGAGTAAGGACGTATCCTAATCGCTTGTACACAAGCGATTAGGATACGTCCTTACTCTGTTTTTGGTAATTTAGGCCCATTTTTGCAGAGTTTCTTTGGTCTGGCATAAATCCTTTAAAAATCTTGAATGCAACTTTCTATGTAACATGATGCAATTAAATTAATGATAACACACAGCTACAGAAGGACATAAAGGATGTATACTCTCAGATACTAAATAAGAATACTATGAGTACTCCTAATAAATAGTAAACAATTAAAGTATGCTTTTGTCATTGATAGATAGTAAAGAATTAAAAAGATTCAATGAAAATACTTTTTTCATTGAAGCATTGTGTAATGTTTACTATCTATGTTTAATTGATTAAAATATTAAAACTGTTAAAAAAAACTACTGTTTTATTCAATATTGGAACATGATGTTAAAACATTATAAATCCATGCTAAGCTTCTGCATAACTATGAACAGAATGAGATGTGATTCAATCTATTGTAAATATAAACAAAGTAAGAATATGTTTAAACATAAAAGTACCATATAAAGAAATTGCTTTTTGCCCTTGGTTTAATTAAATTAATTAAAAACCTTCTAATGTGAGGTGGGAATAAGGACATAATAGTAACCCTTATGTCAAGCTACCATGTAACATAATGAAGCCACCTTAAGCCTGTCTCCTCTACACCCATTTATTGCTCAATGATCATACCTTTATAACGGTTCCTTTGTCTTGTATAATTTTAAGTATCTCACCTCTTTTATATATGTATACCAACTGAAGAGGGACTATTCTGATAGTCCAAAATGCATTTTGGTTATTTCATGTTAATTGTTAAATTAACAATGTACACCCCTTCTCGTTTTATTAAATGTATTACATTGATACCTGGGTGTTTGTGCTTATTATCACTGGTGTGATATGTCCTTATTCCCACCTCACATTAGTAGGTTTTTAATTAATTTAATAAAAGTATCAACAATTCTTTTGACTGCCCTAAAAAAATTCAATTGTCTCTTGATATTAAATCAGAATTGTTTTTCTATACTCTATTAATGATACATAAAACTGATTGCAAATGCATAACAGACAATTTCAAATTAGTTGAATTGCTGTTAGGACATTTCAAAGTATGTTTTGATTGAATCTTATCAATTTCTCTTATATATATATATAAACAAATTTTCTTTTATATAATTCATTTCATGGAAATTAAAAATAATCAGTTTTAATGGATGCAAATGCAGTCTTTATTATTATGGAAAAGCAATTGTTTACATTTTCTTAATAAAATATATGCTTAGATAATGGCTAAGAAAACTGTTCTGTTATGCATTACAAACTTCTAAGGCAATAAATACATTAAATGTTTACACTTACATCTTTAATTTTCAGTTTTCTTTCAATAAATTTGGCCAATTCTTATTAAAATGCCAAAAATTATTTTTATTATTTAATATTTTAAAATTAATAATTAATCTTGACTTTCCATTTCTTCTTCAGAAATCTGCAAGAAAAGGAGAAAAGATATTATAAATTCTATAATATAATATTAATCTTTGGGAATACTACAATTTCTGTTAATATATATAATTTTCTTTATTTGTAATAACATTAATGTTATTACAATTAATTAATGTCAGTTTTAATTTATATTTATATAATGCAATTAAATGTCAAAAATGAATTTTGTTCTTTATGTTTGTAGAAAGATTTTTGGAATTGACTTTAAAAATTTCTAATAAAAATTTAATCAGTACTAAACTAATCAACGTAACAGGGAAAAAGTTCTTTTAGATGCATGAATTTTCCCAGACATCTTAGAAAATATAAGATTAGCTATCTATAGCACTACATGAGCACTATACACAAACAATAGACTGTCTCCTCTATTATCTTTGTCTAAATACAGTATACTCTTGATAATCTGGCCTCTCAATTATCAAGCATATCTCCCAAGTGTGATTTCCTATGCCCTTCTGTTTTCACACATCCTATATCATTGCCCATTCATTCAAAAAAAAAAAAAAAATCAGTACTGAAGAGCAGCAGGTCATGTCATTCATCATTGCCTTTATGCTTATATACACTCAGTAATCTGGCACTTCTCTGTGCAATGAATGGCCAGATTAGCAAGAATCATTATAGCTATATTTTCAGCATTTGTTTAATGTTTTCATGTTATACTTTTATTTATTGTAATATGATATTCTGTACTGTGTTGTTACTCGATAGTTTAATTAAGATGTAAAATGATAGATATAGTAATAAGCATATATAATTTAAATATTTACTTACTGGAACAGATTTTAACTGACAAAGATGATTTAGTGCTAACGTTAATAAAGGACGAACTGTATTGATTTCCATTGTAGTGAGATAATTCAGTTGAGCATGTGTCTCTTCACTCTTAATGAAAGCATCAATGGAACTTCGTAATTTTGCTAATCGAATGTCCCAGATATCTTTCACTAATGTCTGTATCTCATCTGCATTAGGTATATCGTTACTGGCAACATCTAATAACAACTGTGCAATTTCACGAAAATGTTTAGACGGCATAGGTGTAAAGTATCTTGATTCTATTTCCTCTTGTTTTTTATTTTCTAATTTTTCAATATCCATCCATTCGGGTGGTATTAGTCGGCATTTTAATCTTTGTTTAAGGTTGAGAGCAATCCAAAGAGGTATCTTTACTGGAATACTAGGTGTAAATGGTCCAATATCTCCAGATATTAGATAAATTTTACCATGTGAAAAATTTGGAACAATTGTCACATATTCTTTTTCAGCTATGAATTCTATAACTGATGGATCCATCATAAAACATTCTGAAATATGGTCATTTCTATGAGTTAAGTAAGATCATTTTAATATAGAAATTCTAGTTATTTAATTATTTTCTAGCACACAAACAACTTTAGACATAAAAAGAAACATATAAGAGCTCATTAAATATTAATAATTATTAAAAATTTTAAATGTTATAATGAAAAAAATGACAAGAAACGAAATTAAGTTAAAATAAAATTATATTACTTATATCAAAAAGATATTTAGTTTGTTTGGTAATAAGTGATATGGCACACAAAGAATACATAAAATGGGCACAATGGCTTCAATCGTGCCGTTAGAGTCCCAATCTACGACAAAGTCCAGGGTGTTTAGCATCTAGTTATCTGAATAACAGTATGAATGTATATTGAGGGTATCAGGTAGTAAGAATTCATTCAATGAAATCATTCATAAAATGAGTTTGCATGGTGTAACATGTTCAATATGTTCTTGTAACTATTCAAATAGCTAGAAACTAAACATTCAAAATAGAGATGACAAGTCAATCTAAACTAGCTACAAGAAATTATGAAAAATTACATAAATTATACAATTTAAATTTAAATAATTTCATAAAATATAAAAATACAGAAGATAAAGTCTTCAGATATTTGGCTTCATAATCACGAGTGACATACAATCTACAGAAATGACCTTTCCATGGACCTATTTGTTTTTTTAGTAATGGCAATGTCACCAGAGGACTATTTAATCAATTTGCATTATTGCAGAGGTATAACCTCCATAAAAGGGTTGTCTCTGTAGATGAAAATTGTGTATTGCTGAAGACTTTGTATCTTCTGTATTTTTATACTTTATTAAATGTAAATACCATCAGTCAACTTGAAAGAAAAAAATACAGTAAATAATTTCAATTTGATTATATTTGATTTTTATACCAAAGTAAATGTGAAGATTTTTAAATAACAGAAACAATACTACTCATTAATTTTATAATTATATCATCAAAAAAGTAAAGAATATACTATTTCTAACTTTTTGACAAGCAAGATGTCTGTTTTCTTATATTTATGAAATTATGTAGAATTGAGCAGGTTCAAGCTTAGATCCCTCCCATAAATTGTACGAGTATTTAGACAAATGTACAACGTAGTTTACTTTTAATGGCAATTATTTAATTGATTTGTTTTAAAATAATGTGGAATGACAAAACAAATTCATCCAATATCTTGTTATAAACATATTTTCAGGCACCATGATTAAATTTTCTGATATTTATTATAAATTACAATTTTTTAAAACACATTGACAAAGCTGGAATTGAGATAAACTTACAAACCAAACTAATCACACTTTTCCAGCAAAGAATTCATTTAGTAAATAAACATTTAGTAAATAAACATTTTATAAGCTTGCTTCAGGCTGAGAATTGAAATATAAATTTCAATATTCTAAATTTGAATGCTCAACACATTATGACATTATTTACAAATTTTTAACCAAGTTTCATGTCCATTTTTTAACATCAAGTACAGAGAATCATATTTCAAAATATATTGTACAGAATACAAATATACAAATAGAATAAAATATGAACAAGAATAAACAAATTTCATAAGTTAGCCATTGTGTATATATTATGTGTGTATACTATGTATATATTGACCTCATTATTTTTGGGTTATCAAAAAATGACCACCATACAGTAGATAAGGATTCAAAATCTTCATGGTTAATATAAATACCCTTTAACATGGCTTTATATATTTCAAGTGTTTCTAACGTTCTTATTCATGAAACTTAACAGTCCATTGGTTAAAAATTTGTAAATGACATCATATATGTTCAGCATTCCAATTTAAAATTTCAGAAATTTGTATTTTGAAGTTGGGCTTATAAAATAAGCTGAAAACATCACACATACACAGTCCCTTGTGTTAAATAAAACAAAATACACGATCCCTGAAGATATTCTGGAAATCATGCAAAAAGGATTAGACTTCAATGGTCCTAATAATTGGAGAACAATAGATATAATACCGACCTTAGATAAAACTTGTGCAGGATTGACTGAAGTAGACTCTGAGATAATGAAAACCAATTTAAGTAATATCATAAAACATCATATTATAAGACAAAAGGATAGAACAATAATCAGAGATAAAAACTATTACAAATACAATGCTGAAATAGAAAAATTGTACAAGTACTTAAATGACAACAACCTTAATATAATAAAAGCAGATAAGTCAAAACAAATTGTAGTTGTAACTAAAGACTGGATAATAATGAAAAAATTAGAAATCATAAATAAGAAAAATTTCAGAGAACTACCGATAAATCCAAGAAAAATAATATATGAAGAATTAAAAAAACGAATTAATATACTACACAAACAAAAAGAGGTTACAAAAAACGAAAAGATATTTATACTATCTGAAGATAACGAAAGAACCCCTAGACTAAACATTCAACTAAAAACTCATAAACAAAATGAAAAGGTACGACCAATTGTTGACTTCAAATTTACTGTACTGTATAACTTAGAGAAATATTTAAAAGAAAAACTTAAAGATTATGAAAACTCAATTTATTCTATTAAAAATATGGAAGGATTTTTACAAGAATTAAAAAAAGTTCAGATAAATAATACATCTAAGCTAGCTAGTATTGATGTTGTTGAAATGTATCCGTCAATCACATGGAAATTGATTAACAATCAGTTAAACAAAATGAATGTAGAACCTTATATTATAGATTTGATTGAGTTTGCCTATAAGAGTAACTATTTAGAATTAAATAATAAATATTACACGCAAGAAGATGGCATTAGTATGGGGTCAGTTATAGGACCGAAATTAGCGGAATTAATAATGATTGAAATTGACATGAAAATAAAAAATATTTTAGGCATAAATTTCTATAGAAGGTATGTTGATGACATACTAATAGTATATAATGAAGCTGAAATAACAACAGACAAGATAGAAGAATTAATAAATGGTATCCATAATGAAATCAAGTTTACTATAGAAAAAGAAACAACTGATAACAGCATAGCATACCTCGATGTGATGATTAAACGGAGAGAAAGAAAATTAATACTTGAACCTTTTAGAAAACAATGTTCAGTCAACAAGACATTGAATTACCGTTCGAATATCCCTTTACATATAAAAAAGAATATCTTTTATATGGAATATACGAATATACTTAGTAGAACCAGTGAACAAGAGACAAAACAGAAATATATAAACAGTCTAAAAAAGAAATTTAGTTTGAATGGATATCCTACAAGATTAATCAACAATTGGCAAAAAAACATAGATAATAAAGTTCCTTTTCCTTCCAAAAAAGATGCAGAAAAGAAAATTAAATACTTAAGCTTTCCATATATAAAACATGTATATGAAAAAATTAATAAAGAACTTAGGAAAAATAACATACAGCTCGCACCAAATTATAAAAATTTAATATCTAGATTAAATAAGAAACAATGTTCAACAAATAATATAGAGGATAAAAATGAAATTAAAAATGTTGTCTATAAAATACCCTGTACTTGTAAGAATAACAGTTTTTACATAGGAGAAACAAAAAGAACATTAAAAACACGTGTTAAAGAACACATATCCGATTTAAAATATAGTCGTCTGAACTCCGCTTTTTATGATCATTGTGTAATCAATAATTGTAATATAAACCAATCTAATATACAAATTTTACATAAAGAAAAACGGATTTATGACAGAAAATTTAAAGAAAGTGTGGAAATATTACGAAACAAAAACCAAGGCTGTATAAATAAAAACTTAAGTGTTAAAATTCATGAAAATTGGTTAAAAATATTATAATGAAATGTACTAGATTAATACAATTTATAATAATAGAATGGTAAAAAAGAATTATTTAATGAAACAATGTTCTGTATTAACGTCATATGTAAATTAGATAATAAGAAAATATGCAGAGTAAACTTTAAGAGAAATAGTGATTTATTGTATAAAAAAATTAAAAATTTTTTTTGTAATTTCCTTAGGGATTTTCAAATGTTTGTCGATTAATTTGTTAACTAGTATAACTTACGGCACATAGTGCTATATGCAAATTGTCGGATCAGTCGACGAGGTGGCAAAAAAAGACTTTTGAAATTTGTAAGTTTTAGTTTTTTAAAATCTGCAGAGTTTATCTTGTTTATGTGATAAAATGTAGAAAAGGTTTTGTTTTTAACCTGTATAGTTAAAATTGTGATAAAAAATTGATATTGAAAATGTTAAAAAAACCTAAGTGTAGTCTGATTTCTACTGTATGTGCAGTGTCCATGCTGAAATGAGGTATGGTTTACAAAGAATTTATGTGAGTTTTTTGGTTTTTATTTGTGTCCTGTTAAATATTTTTATATATATTTAGTTAGCTGAAGAGGGGCTGATGCCCGAAACGTTGATGTATGGAAAAAACGTTCTAACTAAATAAAAGATTCAACTAGCCCAGTGTTGAGAAAAACGTCACTTCATTGTGCCTGTACACAACAATCACACATACAACTATTAACCTTAACTTTAAAACCAGCAAGCTTTAATTCACCATGAAAGATGAAAGATTATATTCTATACATGTAATAATGTCATTCCATATAATTTGATATTTTGAGCGTGAAAACATTATATGCATTAAATGTTTTCATACTCAAAATATTGAATATATGGAATCACTGGTAGAAATTTTAAGTTTCCTCTCATAACTGTATGGAAAAAAAAAATGCTAGACCTTCAATGCAGGAAATCTGTGGCGAACATGTATGTCATTTCCTCCTTAATAAAAAGTACTATTGCAACCACCAACAATAATATTACTATGGCAGTGGTGAAATATCCTACTTGACTTATACTAGTGCCTAGTGCTATGCATGATCATGGTCAAGATATAATTACAAGAAAATTGTTGTTTTATTTACATATTGTTCAATAATGTATCTGTGTTTAACAATTTCCTGGCTATATGATGTGTTTAACATGGCTGTTTTCTGTAATGTCATGTATTTGCTGTTGTGAAACCCTAATATTTCTAGACTTTTGTGTATTGTATGTGATATGATCCAGTGCAAAAAAGGAACTGCAGGCAGAGTATCTTATCTATTCTCCATAGTTGCTTTATTTCATGGGCAGTTTTCAGTTTTATTTATGAATTTTTTCAATGCCTGTATTTTGCTATATATATATATATATTAGATGCAATTTTGTTTTATTTGTCAATAAATGTGATGCTTGGTTTGTTGTGATGGATTGTTTTGTATATTTATAGTATGGTTGATGGTTGCCAGGAGTGTAATGGTTTGTGTTTGTATGAAGCTTTTAATGCATTATATTTGCTATTTGGTTATGTTGACATAAGTAGTCAGTTTTTGTTAAAAGCACATTAATGTGTTGTACAGTTTCATGCATGGTGTGTCATTTCCTAAAAGTATTGTCTGTAACAATTGTGTCTTTTAAAATGCACTTTCTGTAGTTATTATTAATTTTTTTTTGTATTTTCACCTTGTCTTTTATGACAAACATGAAACCTTTTATCTCTCCAAAAAGACATCCACAAATCAGCAAGCAGTTTGACACAGTTCGTCAACATAATAACTGTCTAAGATTATTATAATGCCTATGCCATGCTAATCCTTTCGTATCTATGATTACTTCATGATGTCTGTGTTAGGTCCAAGTCAGCATTGTGTACATTTAATAATGTACTGTTTTTGTCTGCAAGAGTTAAAACTTTGTGTAATTGTGACATTTCTTTTTTGAAGAAAAGGTGTTGTGGTGTCTGTATTTTTTTGTAGTGCAGATTTTAAATATCTATGAGGCCTCATTACAAGGAAGAATCAATCTTTCTATGGCACCGATGTAGATTGGTGTTTGTTAGGTTTTGTTAATGTTCAGGTTTTTCTTTGGACTTGCTCTAGTTCTGTGTGTGTCCAGCACACAGCATAACTCCAAATGAATATGTGAATACTGGGACAACATATGTGCTGATTGCTTTAAATATGCTTTTTGCATTCAACTGTATTGTTACTATTGAGTTTGGCCTGTTGAAAACTTGAATATTTGTAGACTTTGTCCTCATCTATTAATTCAATGATGTCTTCATTTCTATGTACAAAATCATCTTTCTTAAGAGTTCCTTTTTCTATATTGAATAGTCTGCAATTTGTCTACACCAAACTTCATTTAAATATCAGTGGAGTAAATATGTGAAACTTCTAATAGTGATTTGTATGTAAGGAAGCTGTGCATGTAAGGATGCATAGAGCTGAATGGAAGACATGTCTTCCATGTATATGAAATGAAATAAGTATAGTCAAACTGTGTTAATATGAATTGCTAGGGAAACAGTAGTTAGTTCACTTTATCGAAAATTCATATTAACAATTTTCATGGTCAAGGTCAAGGTCATATAATTTATGATTAATAGACAATTGAAATCTCTAAATTATATTTTGAATTAATAAAGTTACTAAATAAAGTTAAATAAATTAATGAACTAAATGATTTTCAAAATGAGAAGGAGACTGTATTTGCCATTTAAGTGTAGAGCAGTGTATCAGTAGTTAAACAAAACAAAACTAAAAGAAATCTGTGATGTTTTCTGTTGAAGATTGTTCGAAAAAAAAAGAAAATATTTTTTGGTGCCAAAAGAGCCAAATTTGGTTCAAAATACCCAAACATTTCATCACTATATGCATCCCTGATATGCAAACTATCATGTGTTTGCATGATATCACATCCATTTAAAGGGATGGGTGTCCTTAAACTTTAACCTTTATCAGTGTTTGTTTTTAAGGCAAGTCAAGTGTATTGTGTTGTTTTGTTGATGTATCCATATTTTGGGTTGTATTGAAAAGTGGGTTTAAGGCTAGATAGAAAAAAACAGAATTAAGGAAGCTCTCTGGAAAATGCCTCATCTTATGTGTATTTGGTTTGTTATGATCTGTCATGAAGTCTGAAGTATGAATGTTATTGCTGTTTCATTTTCTTAAAAATATAAAAATAAAATAAATATTCATAAAAATATTATTTAAAATGTTAACATCCTATGTGTATTAATCACGTTATTTTTAAATAAAAAGACTAAATTCACTCACAAAATATTCTTTTTGTTTGGATTCACTTTTATTTCTCATGCAGTACTATTAATTTTCNTAAAAAGAAACATATAAGAGCTCATTAAATATTAATAATTATTAAAAATTTTAAATGTTATAATGAAAAAAATGACAAGAAACGAAATTAAGTTAAAATAAAATTATATTAAGTATATACAAATATATATAAAGTAAGTTATTTTAGAAAACAGATTTTTATCAACACAAAAAGACAAGATACTTAAAATAACATAAAGAAGTCAGAAAACTTTTTAAAGACTGTTTAAGTGCCCTATTTTTCTACATTAATAAAAATAGAGTCAATAGATTTTTACATAAACAGATAATGATTATATATATAACTGCTTTAATTGAAGAGAAGAAAAGTAAGAAAACACTTTTAGCTAATTTAATAGTTTAATCTAACAGTATTGCTGTAGATACAGTGAGATAACAACGGTATTTATTCTATAGAATGATCTGAGAAATAGATCTAGAAAACTTATATGATGTTTATTTGTTATCTTTCTGTATCCACATTAATGTTATTCAGTTGAATAGAACTAGCTTTGTGGGTATGTAAACCCGTGCATTCTTACAGGCTCCTGTGCTTGGTTAATGCTAAGCCCTTGTATTTGAAAATGCTCTGCACTAATATTTTGTCCTAGGATCTGCAAAATATGAAGCCAATTCTGCAGTTGAACTATTTTGTTTCAAGGCTAGCACTGATGGGTGAACAAGGCAACTACCTAAACGGCAAAATGAGAGAGGCAGCAAAAGAACAGTCAAAAATGTTTGAAAGGAGGAAAAAATAAAGAAATAATAAAAATAATAAGCCTAATACAATAAAGTCCTATAAACAGACTTTAAAGTTGTTTAAAAATAATTCATATAAGAATGCCAACACTATAAGGGCTCTCTATTGGCAATGTTCTGGTAGCAAGGGTAACAAAATTCAGTTTTGCCTTAAGTGCAAGTTTACCATACAGCCTAAACTGCTTTTGTTAAGCCAAAGATGACGAATTTGTTTAAAATATTTGTTTATTTATTCTCCTTCTGTGCTTCAATTAATGCAGTTATTTATTCTATTTCTTAAGACAATTTTCTCATTAGATAAATTATATTAGAAAAACAAACATGAGACTTAAATTACAAATAAAAATAATTTACAATTATAATCTACAAAGCTTGATACTACTATTATGAAATAAAATCTTTAGCAATATACCATTGTATATATTTTATTATTATTTTGTTTAAATTTTTAAAAACATTTTTTCTGTGAATTAATGAATTTAGTTTCCTTAAGAGGTACTTGTTAAAAATTTTATTTAAATTTACAATTAATTTTGACAAATGTCTTCACATTTTATTATCAGTTTAGATACTTGTAAGTTAAATTCAAATAATTTTTCTTGCTACAAAAACTTTCTAAAAAATTAAAATACTTTTATGCTTACTATTGGAAATTAACACGAGAAAACAAACTTAGAGAAGACAGATTTGTACTGAAGAAAACCTTAATCCAGTGTCTTCTCTTAATTTTCATTCTAAGAAAAGCAGTTTGAATTACGTTTCAGCAGCTTCACTAGTAGGATACTATTAATTCAATATAGATTAGAGAATAAAGTAAAAATTCATTTTTAATCTCATTTTAACATGCTTCTGATAATTTCACTTCTACATCAATTCAAAAACATCTAAAATGAAAATAAAAAATCAAAAGCACTTATTACCATTAATTTCTATTCTTTTTATTTTTATCAGTTCACGAAGTGTTGTATTTATTATTCAATAGAGAAAACAATAAAAATCTTTTAACTTCATAATTTATTTTTACTCTTTCTATCCTATGAACACTAAGCAAGTTCTTTGAGTCCATTATAAGTTTGACTAGGTCCACAATGGGGTTGTCAGGTAATGGGTTTGACCAGGGCCGGATTAACTCACTTTGGGGCCCTAGACATTTTCTTCTTACTTGGCCCCCTCCCACATAAGAACATAAATACACATTTTCTTTAGATTTTAGAATTCATAATAACCATATAAAAAGCAATATATATTTGTTTATTATATACAGTTGTCCAACAGAAAAGTAAACTACTTTATTTACAAATCTTTTCAAAATATACAGTTTGACCGGGCCCTAGACATTTGTCTCATTTGTCTATGCGATGATCCGGCCCTGGGTTTGACGTATCTAAGACTACTTCCAAAAAATATCTGGGGATTTTAGCTGTCCAAATATGTTACAAGTCCCCAGTGTGATAGGCCAAAACCTTAACTTATGGATTTTTATTAATTTATTATTGCAACAACAATGTATTTTTCTAACTTTTAGTTTTACTCCATAGGGGAGTAATGATATATATATTACTCCCTTAATAAGAGCAATTATTTTCTTATGTAACATACCAATTTGTACTGTTTTGTACTACAATAATAGAAACTATTGCTATTGGCATTTGCATTATGGTTATGCATTATTAGGCAGGAAATCTAAAGCTAGGAATAATAGGCAAAACAAAAATAACGATTTATTAGTCATTTGCCATTCTGAATCTTTAATTCTACCAACACAAGTATTAATCTATGACAAGCAAATCTTCACATTAATATTACACTAATATAATATCCTAGAATGATTAGTGGTTTATATTTAATTTTCTTATTTAATCAAATAAAGCTAATAAATACATTATCAATATGTGCTGTGAATACAAAATTATAAAGTTAAGATAAAACAGCTCAGGGACAACCCATTGGTCTGTACGTTTTAAATATAGGAAACTTACCTACTAAAATATAAAGATGCCTCCTTTTATATCAATAACTGACTACTAAGTGATATAACAAAGTATTGAATAGAAAAAGACCGTGATAGTTCACAAATGACAAGTGTTATTCTTAATTGAGGACATTCAACTTTGGTTAATTTGTTAAAAATAAAGAATTCCAAGTCTTCGAGAGAAATATAATCAAATAAATTTATAAATATTCTTTACAAGCAGCATATTACATAGTCATTCAATTATCTCGATTATCTCATAACACTTCAACACTGTAAACAAAGCAATCGAATTTGGCGCGTAATCGTAGCATACTTACTGTTAGATTTAAAATTGAATGACGAAATTTTACATTAATTTTAATAAATTAATAGCTGAAATATCTTTTATTATTATTTTAATAAAAATAAATAATTTTTAAAAATTATTTCCGTTTAAGAATTATCCGACAAATGGCGCTTTTTAAGCGTTGGCAAATCACGTGGAAAAATCAATTGGCGCTGCTATCTGTTGTATACGGTATGTTCAGGCATTAAACAATAACTTTTACGATGTTTAGGCGTGTTTTTCTATCGACTAGAGTGCTACGCGATGACTTCAGAACTAGAGATGAGAAGCCTAGTTCTGCTGCTGGAACTGTTCCGACTTCGGAACGGTTTCTCGAAATTGCTTAGAATATGTTACAGGACTGCACGACATATGACCCGCTGGGCACAAAAAATTTAGAGGATGCAAAAGAAAATTAAGTGTATTAATGTGATTTCACGATATAAGGCTCGTTTAATAGAAAACCTGAAAATTGGCATTAAAAGTCGGGAGGATGAGCAATTTTGACACACGAAACTTCCAAGTAGTGCCGTAACTATCCATTCCTGTGCCCTACGCAAGAACTTGCATTTAGGCCCTTTAATTAATTAGGTTTGGAAAAATAATAAAACAAATATATGCATTTTGGGCTCCCTTCCAAGTAGGCCTGTTGGGTGCACCTGTTGCACTTGCCTAGTTACGACGCTGCTTCCAAGTAGCTGCAACTGGCAACACGTTGATACGCGAGAGCATAAGACAACGGACCGATAAATTGGAGACGCCTCTCCAACAGTGCACGAAGAAAGAGCGGTGTAGTATTGTCCGAGTTTGAACATAAACCAACGACATTCATTGGCACATGCAAGTACAATAAGAATACTACATGATTTGCACACAGGTGCATGAATAGAGTTATAAGGTTCCAAAAACAGTTACAGTTCTCTCAAAGATTCTCTACGGCTGAAATTGCAGTGAATACCATAGAGAATTTGTGGATCAAGAACTGACCAAAATTATTTTGAATATCATGACACCCACGGCTTGCCACGCTAGTCCCTGATGTCAGTACATACACTAATGTTTTGAATTAAGCAAAACAATTTCGTGTTTTATACTCAGATCAGATACCGTACCGTTTCTAGATCAGCAACAAAAGTTAATTCTTTTAAACTTGGACCATTCATTTTAAACATATGCATACTAGTACTCAGATAGGAGCAAACTACAGCCCGACAAATCGACTGACGGTTTTCTTATTACACTTTTTCACACGAGTGCTTGTATATTTTTATATACTGTATTTATAATACGCGAAGATTCACAATTTTCCAATAGTGACCTTGACTCACCATCTCTCTCGCTCTCTCCCCTCTCAAAATATAACATAACAAAGCTATCTTCTCACTCATCGACCTTTAAACCTAACGGTTTTCAAGATATCAGCCAATTTCTCATAAAAATCCGATTTCTCTTGTTCCCGAAAGTTTCTATGCCGGAAACTAAGTTTATCAGTTTTCGTTCTTTATCTTATCGTATCAGATAGTTAATTAAACAAGCATTATTTGAATAAATTGAATTGTTAAGCATGACGAAGTGCCATTCCTGAAGTGATCGTTTTTATTATTGTGTGTTTACTTACTTGTAATTAGTCCCATCTTCCTATCTCCAACGGTTTTCGAGAAAAAACAACTGAACGCGCAAGTGAATCATCCTGTTTATAAATACAGTATTTAAATTCATTGAAATATTTTGCGATATGTGTGTTAGTATTATTCTTAATATGATATTTCAGTCTTCTTATTGTTCTATGCCTTTATTATTATTACGGCATCATTCATATGTTTTATAATTTTATACCTCTAGTTATAAATTAGTATAGATTCGTATATGATTGCTCAAATCTATCCAGGAATATTCTTACTATTATGTTTGAATGTATCAATCTCTATTATCTATACACTGACATATAAATTTATTTATATAATTACATTTAGAATCTGTATAATGTTTCTTATATAATTCTTTTCAAGCTTTGTTTTTTATTTTTCATCCGTGTCCACCAATTTTTTTTCAAGTCGTCTTAACTTTAAATCCATTCAACTGTGACATTAAGAGAGCCTTTTTACGTGCCCACTAAGTTCGATTGAACCCACAACGGACAGGCTAAACGATGAGAAACGAAGCCTCATATATTTATCAACTCATCTATGAAAATTTCTGAGTGTCGGTCCGGACTCAAACCCGAATTTCCCAGAGCTGTTGGCTAATGTATTTACTGTCTCGATCCCCTAGCAAGTTGGACTCGTGTTAAGCCGGATGCACACATGCGGCGCGGCAAGGAAAAGCGGCAGAATGACGTCACTTTTTCTCGCTGCAGAAGTCGATTTTGTGCCGCTTTTCTCGTGCCGCAAAAGTTGGTTGAATTCTATCTTTTGCGGCAACGCCGCCAAGACGCGTTTCTATCAGCCAATAACAGTTTGTCCCGTAGTCACGTGAGAAAATACAATCACGTGGTGTTTTAATGGCGGAAAGTTCGAGGCGGTTAACCGAGATAACTAAAATCAGAATAAAGAGAAAAGGATAACAAATTTAAAACAAATTCGACACAAATAATCATATATAATTTAATTCAAAGAACAAAACAACCGAATCTTACTCGAAATAGTATTTTTTATCCAGAGATCTTGATCCACGAATAAGTCTATTTTGTACACCAGTTCTTTTTCGATCCAAAAAAGTATCTCTAATTCAAATCTTCGACAAAATCTTTTAGCTAAATAAAGCGAGCCGTACAAAACAAAATTTGTAAACACGTGGATAGGGACAGTATGTAAACACGTGGATATCGTTCGCCATCTTGAATACTGAACGCATGCGCCGAAATGTAAGCGGATTGCCGCTTGTGTGGTTGTGCTGCCGCGCGGCGAAGATGCGTTTGCGTCACCGCTTTTCCTTGCCGCGCCGCATGTGTGCATCCGGCTTTACTGAATAAAATTCAGGTCTGTACAGTCAGCATAGTGAAATCTAATTCCAATAAAAATTATGTAAAATCTCACAAATTTTGTTTTATATGTTCAGTATTCTTTAAATATTTAAATATATTTTTACAGTAATATTTTCGGTAATTCAGTTCATCGTATTTTACTTGTACATGTGTATATTAATAGCAATAGAGTCCACATATTATTACATAAATTTCAAAATATTTCTATTATATTAATATTAATATATCGTCAGTAATGAGTATGTAAATTTTTAAATTAGTAACAGAACAATCATTTTTATAACAATCCCTATTGTTTAAAAATCAATTGTTATTCGAAATGTTAACTTAACGTGGCATTGAAAGTTATCGTGTTATTTAATTTTATGGGATGGTTGGATGAGGTTCTGAAGGCGTAATTAATGAACCTCAGAACGTCAGCCTGACGTTCTGAGAATCCGGATTCAAGTTCAGAATACGTTGTGTTCATTCTCTCCACTTATGCGAACAGCGATATAAATGTATTAGAGGCATTACGTGATGCAAACTAATTTAGTGAATATCATTGAACAAACGAAGCGATATCCTCAACAAGTTCTTGTTACTTCTCATATGACTGGAAGTGGCACCAGGACAGAACAAAACAGTTCTCCATAGGCTAAGCGTCTTAATCCGGATACGTCGATTCATCTCCCTCATTACTTGATTGAATTCACGATGAGCACAGAAAAACATTCTCTTAGTGCCCACAGGGCAGAGAGAGTCTTAAAAAAATTAACTTTAAGTAAAATATGGCAAATTATCAAAAATTTGGTATTAAACAAATTCTTGTTTTGTCATAGCGACGGCTTTTTAAATTTAAAAAGAAATTCTAAAAATATTTTAAGGACTTTCATGAGAAACTTCACACTTCACACTTTACTCCGTTTGACATTTCTAAATTTTTAATGCATAATGAATTATTCAAAATATATATGACCTCAATATTTATGGATCATGTTGTTTTTGAATCGTAAAATCTGTTTTTATAATTAAAAAGTTGGAAGAAGTGAATCCTTGAACCGTGCACTGTATTGTTTAACACGGTTCAAAGATTTGTTTGTATAGTATATTACCGAAATTATCGATAATAAGAAATACTAACATTGGAAATTCTTGATAATATGTTATTCAGTTTCTTATATGTTATGGTCTGTATTATAAAATTCAAATTTAAATAAATAATTCATATTATTCTATAAAGTCATTCGCAGAATAATATTCATTACTCTACATACGCAAAGGAAAATACCAGTGGTCGATTGGAACCAAGATATGCTGGTCCCCGTCCCTCACCACCCGGCCGCCCCATCGTGGGCTTGGCCGAACCCATAATGGGCTTGCTAGAAAAGCCCTCTTAGTACCCACAGGGCAGAAAAAGTTAAAAAAAATTAAGTGGTCGAGTGAATAAAACCACTGAGCACTGGTAGTTGGTCGTGGGTCCACGCTTCGCCAACTGGCTGATGACGTGAATTTTTCCGGGTTTTCTTCACGTTTGTAACTTCTGAATAGGGGCTAGTTTCCTTTAGTAAGTACTCCCGGGAGGTATCTCACGCTCGGCAGATAGCCCACGTGTCGGGTCTCCATATAGAAACAAACAAATACTACGCAATGAGTTTTAATACAACGCCAATGACATAAACAATTTGTGAACGAAACGACATTTTTAAAATTCTTTTGGACCTGTGGTTTAGTGGGCGTTTCTAGCGAGTCTATTATGTGTTTGGCTGGTCTTACAATGGGTTGACCAAATGGCGGGGGTCGGAAGTGCCCGAACATATCTGGACGAACTACATTCCAAAAATTTCTTTGGTTTTTTTCAATCCATCCGGTTCGATACTGGGTTCCCCATAAAGGTAGACTGCTACTTTAATCGCTTGCCCGTCAAATAAATGAATTGTGTGATTGATTTGCTTATTCAGCTATATTAAAGCCGATTTACCGTCTGAAAGTTCCTGGACAGGTGAAAATAACTGAACGCAGAAAACAAACAGCCTGCAATTCTCTATTGCTAAACACAAGTTCTTTTTTTTTTTTTTTAACTCTTTCCGCCCTGTGGGCACTAAGAGGACCTTTTTATAGCAAGTCCATTATGAGTTCAACCATGCCCACAATGGAGAGACTGAGTGGTGAGGGACGGGACCCGACGTATCCGGACGGACCACTCCCGAAACACCCATTTGGATTCGATCCCGGTCCCCAGAGCGATAGGCTACCACTTTAAAATTTGACAATATTTAAAATATATTAAAATGAATTATTGTTTACGTAAACTGAAATTTTATAGATTTTGTTTTTGAAAATCAAATATTAATTCACGAAAAAAATTTTGTATAATTTTTTGAAATCCCTAAACAGAGAAAAATTCCCTAAGAATTTCCCTCATTTTAATAAGTTATCACGTGCGAATATCCAGAATAAAGAAAAATTTAATCATTTTATTACTGTAATATAGAAATAACTAAAATAAATAGTAAAATAATCGCAAAAGTTTGACAATAGTACTTACAAGAATAAATAATTGATAAACGATGACGTAAACAGGGATTAAAAAGGAAAAATAAATTATGCATAAGATTTTCTAAAAGTTTACGTAATAATAAACATAAATTAATAATTTTAGCGGCATTAGCGGTGTAAATTCGTTTAATTTATATGAATTAACCAAAAAAGTAGAAAAAAAGAGTAGAAAATTGCTAGACAATACAAAGGAAATGCCGGAATGTCCTTGGCATCATCGGGCTTGATTAACGATGCGTAGCGGACTCGACGTCGAGTTAAAAAAAAGTTTCAATCTTTTCACTCCCGTCTCTCTCATTTAGCAAATGATCATTTGTATTTATTTCTCAGTCTAGTGTCGTCATATACTGTAGTCACGTGTTATATATACCGAAATATATATAGTTTCGATATTTGTGCAACGGTGAGGCACGTCGTGCGATGAGTTCTATTGTGGAAATAAAAAGCGAAGAACCTGTTCGACTGGATGAAAGTGCATTATACGAAATACAGTTATGAATGAATGATAGAAAAAAGAGAGAAGAGTAAAGATGGATGATAGACAACTCAACGAATTGCTGCCCGATTTTCGTCCAGGGCCTCTCGATAATTATCGTGGCAAAGCTAGTTTTAATTGGAAAAAAATGAAAGTATTGCTGGAAAGCGAAGAAGTTATACGATTTCAAGTAATTTTTCTTTATATTCTAATTCTATAAAGTATAAACAGTCTTTGTTTTCTCTTCTTATATGAGATTCAATATAGTATATTACACATACACACTCATTAACCTAAAAGTAATTGTCTAGTGTTTTCATGTAATGACATTATTATGAAAAGAATGTTTACTATGATTTAATTTAGAAACTATGCTATTGTTACATGAAAAAGATATGGTATAAAATTTTTCTATATAATATGATTATTAATACATTGTATTACTTTCTTTTTGTTTTGTATAAGCTGGGTATACAGTTATAAAATATATTAATAGAACTATCTGTTTTATTCATATATTGACGTAACTTTATACGGTATATGCGAAAAGATACGGTATGGACTTTTATTGTATAATGACGCCGTTACGAGAATGTACGGCACATTTCTTGGAACTTAATGCGTAATGACATTATTATTATACTTGTTATTGGACTAAAAACAACTTTAATGAGAATTTGTGTTATAGATTTCTCGTACAACTACCAGTATAAACTGTATACTTATATTTTATAAATCCTTATTATATGTTATCTAATTTTACATTGATGATGATGATGATGATATTATAATCTATTATTTATTGATATGAATTTTGAATTCACATTAATAAATAATAGTAAATTAACAAATTTTAACAAATACTTCAGTGAGAGAATAAACGAACAAATTCTATAATAACGTAAATCATAATTTGCTAAATAAACTTTTATTTAAAGGCATCTTAAATTTTTCATAAAAGAAATTTTAAACTAATAAATTAAATGTTGAAATGAAATAAAAGGTCAAGGATTGGATAAATGTGATTATAGAAGTGATGCACTCTGTGATATATATTCTCAGTTTGAATAAAATTATGAGAAAAGAACCAGTAAGAGTTTCTAGTAGCAGTTTGAGTTAGAATAATATATTAGCATTAAATTGTAGTAACAATCATATTATTGAATCTCTGAAAACTTTTTTGTAAAATACAAAACCTCTCTTATATTTCTATATTATTTTATAGTTACTGCTTCCTTATTTATTGAAGTTTATAATATTTCTACCATATATTTGGTATTGACTTAATAACATAAAGAAAATACAGTAGAGCATCGATTATCCGACTCAATTGGGGACTCAGGTTGGTCGGATAACTGAAAAAATCAGATAACCGAAAATAATGAAAAAAATACATTATTAGTATAGTATATTAGGATATCCCATGTAATTAGTATATTAGTATATTGCTATTAACCAACTTCATGTTGAATTTTCATCAATGTTTAGCCTAACAAATTTTTTTAAAATAATAATCGTCACTATTGTATCGTTAAAAATTATTTAAAAATTATTTTATTGCTCACAAAACAAACAACCATTCATAATTAGAAAATTAAGTCTCGTTTAAATACTGGCCTCCCTTCAATGATCGAGCCGTTGATGCCAGGTAAAACACGCAAAAATTTAACAAAAATAATATTAAAGTATCCAAGACATAGCCAAATATTGTAACGCCACATCACTAGCAGACATTTGAAATTTGCCGACTAGAACGGTCGGTTAACCGATGTGACGGTTAATCGGGGGTTGGATAATCGATGCTCTACTGTACTTCTGTGAAATCCATTTTTTAAATTGTAATTAAACTTAGCAATTTTTTTTTTCGAATATAATTTTTAGATTTTTTTAATGATATAACAAATAAACTGATTTTCTGAAGTTCACTTTAAGAAATTGGAAAGTTATTTTTGTATTAATTTTTTTAACAATTCTGTTATATACAGAATTGCTGAAAAGTATTAACTATTAAACTTTAATAATGAGGATTGGTTTTAATTACATATAAAAAGCTGATTATTTCTGCTATGAGAGTTTTATTTCTACAAAATAAATGTTTGCTTTTTTTTTTTAATTCCTGATATATGAAATTACATGGAAACAAAATTCTCACAAGCCCTGTTAAGTATATGAAAAAAAAACTTGCAAGGGCTCTTGCTGGATTTTCCTGAACTAGAACAGGAGGTTAAGGGGACCATTAGGAAGTTCAATAATTTTCATTTATAATAGTATATAAAGGTAATAACAAAAGTTTAAAAGGAGTAATTTTATAGAAATATTATAGTTTTTTAATGGAGATTTTTAAGTTTAAAAAACATTAGCTCAAAGTTAAAATTGTGTGGGGTATCATCTGTTAGTAGTTATTTTTAACAACACTTCATATGTTATCGGAATAATAATAATAAACAACAATTATATAATTCCACAATTGTAGAACAACTGTATATAAATTATATGCACTCTACTATGAAAGTTCTGCATGGATGCACCGACATACTTCAGTCTAGTGTTCAATATCTATACAAGACCTCTGATTCAATGCTAGTTTGAAATAGATCAGCATGATCACATGGAACCTCGATAGTAGAGTTAGAGAACATAAATGGACTGAGAAGGAAGATCTAAACAACATATGTTAAGGAACCTGATGTAGTGGTCATTTGAGATATCATCGAGTTCATTAGATCAGTGATTAGATCATGGCTAGCCAAAAACATTTTGAAATCCTGAGCATGACTAACAGAGACCTTAGATATGTTAATTATTGGGATGTAGATTCATTGTTCACGGTGTGCAAATTGTTATACAAAATGTAACATTTTTAACTAGCAAATAAGGTGTACAGTGGTACCTGCTACTTCAAACAACTATACCTTTTGAACATTTCAGAGTTTGAGTGCTAAATTTTGAAAAGAAATTTGGTTCTGAGTCGAATGATGCTTCAAAGTTTGGATTCTGCACACAATTAAAAATGCATTAAAATTATAAAATAAGCATCTGAACAAATAACACAATCTCAAATTAGCAATGTGTTAAATTTCAAACTTGAAGAAGACCGAAAGTACGGTGGAAAACATTTGTTTTCTATTAAATATTTAGTACTGGACTGTTAATGTTTTCTGAGTGTTAATTTAAATTTCACAACTTAGATATGTGATTTATTTATAAGTAAGGACAACTGGTAAAAATAATGAAAAACTTTCTGTTCAATTTGATATCATCTTTACTTATTATTAATGGTATCTGAGAATTGTTGAAGCATATGGAAGCAACTAAGTCCAACAAGTAAGACAGAGGCTGTAAGGCTGTAATATTGATGATTCAGATGAATTCATTGCAAAGCACAAGTGTCACATGTGTGGCAAATCTGGCAGCCCTGTTTAAGATGCTGAAGTTGATAGCATGCAACTAGTAAAAGCAATTTTTGTTTTATTATATAGTATTTACATATTCTATTTATTGTTTTTGTATTTTAATTTATTATTTAGGGCAGTGATTCCCAACCCGGGGTACGCGATAGGTTATTTAGTGGTACAGAAAAAAGTTACTTATTATGGCAGAAAAAATAATATATTATGTATCCCAAATTAATAGTATTAAAAAATTATTAGGTAAAAAATGTTCCTTGCAACAATCACAAACTTTATTATACATTTCAAAATTTAAAAATAGAAATAAAAACTTATGCTGCCGATTGTATAATGCAACAGATCAATAAATATTGCACAGTCGGTCAATGGTAGTGGGGATACCATTATGTGTGATTAGTGATTATGCTATGGACTTTTGATGGTGGGGTGTGTTACTATTATTATTATCATCTCTCAACAATATCCCCATGTGTTGTTTGAAAAAAGTATTCTTTTGTTTATAAAAAGTATTTTTTATTGTTTGCAAGGAAAAGGACATAGCTAGTTTCTCCAGATTTTCTCTACAAGCGGTAATTTTTTTCATTATTTATTCAGTATTTTTATTAATTTTTTATTGACAAGACTATGTCTTGTTTATAAAATCGTACTGCCTGCTGTGTTACCAGCTTAGAGGTATGAAGGAGTACATGTCAAAATTTGCAATTTGGCACAGAGTATTAGGTGCCCAAATCATGTGCGCATGAAAAAACAGACTTGTAGGTACTTGGGACCGAGAACCGAGTCAAAATAAAATTCAAAATGGCGAAACTCTCTACTATTTGTAGAGAGTTTCGCCATTTTGAATTTTATTTTGACTCGGCAGTGCGAGATTTGCGCATGCATTGCTTATAGGGAAGTTCGAAATGCCACCGGGGGGTACGCTAATGAAAAAAGGTTGGGAACCTCTGATTTAGGGCATTTAATTGTGTTATTTTCCTCATAAATTATGTATATTTGCTGTTTCAGTTTATTGAAATAGATATTGTTTAGGGTCTGGGAATGAATTAATTCACTTTTTATTATCTCTAATGGTAAAAATTGCTTTGGACTTTAAGTGGGTCTCTTAAAATGAATAAATTTGAAGTACGAGGCACCACTGTATATCTTTAAGTATTTTTATATACAATGATTTAGAAATTAAATCCCTATGGCAGACTTTATTATATCATATAAATACAGAAAATCTATTGGTGTTCTAATTAAGATTATTAAACAGTAAACTCAAGTTTGCCTTATAACCAAGTCTGTTTTAATCAGGAGACCAAGTTCAGTTTGCAAAAAATTTTTATTATCTAGGCATTTCAGGATTAGAAGATCCCCTTTCCAGGCTACAAAAATACCAAATGTATTAGACATTAGCAACTTTATAATAACAAAGTAATAAATATTAATACAATAAAAATTAAACTGGTACCAATTGGGACGCTCCAGTTTTTATCTATACACCTCTCACTAATATTACAATATACTCCTCAAACTGTTTTTTTTTTCCTTTTTTCCTTTCTTTCCTTACTTTCATTTTCCAAAAAAACAAAAAAACTTGTTTTAAAAAAATTTTTAAGAACATAAAAAACAAAGGAATAAAATTAAAAAGGATGATAATTAAAAATTGTTTTAAAACAAGGAATTTTCCAAAAGTCAGTTTGAGAAGTGTATTGTATTAGTGAGAAGTGTATATGTAAAAACTGGAGTGTCCCAGTTGGTAGTTTAATTTTTATCGTTTTTATTACTTTATTTTAAAATAGCTAATGTCGAATATATTTTATATATTTTTGTAGCATAGAGATGAAATGTTTTTATCCTGAAATGCATAGATAATAAAAATTGTTTTTGCCAACTGAACTTTGTCTCTTGATTAAAACAAACTTGGTTATAAGGTAAACTTGAGTTTACTGTTAAATAGTCTTAATTGGAACACTATTAGGTTTTCTGCATTTATAGAAGCATTTTTACCTTTAGATAATTTTGGTTTCATTTTAACATTTAATCTTTGGTATTTTGATAGATTTTGTTTTAGACATTGCACAGTTAAATATAGTATATTCTATTAAAAAAAATGTTTAAACTTTAAATTTTTAATATATTCTAATTTGTTTTTTTTATTCTATTTGAGCACTGAAAAAGACCCATTAAGCTAAATTGAAAACATAATTGGTTACATTAGTGCTGGAGTGTTGTAAAGTGTTTTTATTTATTTACAATTTAAAATATGATTTGTGAAATTCAATATTTAAAGTTGCATCTCAAAAATTCTTGAGTGGCTAAAGCTTAAATATTGAAAAATAATCAAATCTTTAATTCAAACATGATAACTCAACTTTATTGGATCCTTATCTGTTGTCGAAAATTAAATTACTATATTTTCTTGTTTGTAACCTGTGATGGCATACAGCCTGCAAAAAATTACTGGAATGGAGTGGTGGATAAGATAACTCAATATATGGGTGATCTGCCAAGAGTGGAATGCCTCTTGGAAGGACTTTTTATGGGAAACTAGTCTTTATTTAAGTATTGCATGTGAAGAAAACTCAGAAAACTTCATGTGGCCCATCTTTTGATCACGTGTGAACCAGTGGCTCAGCAGATAAAACCATGGAACTACCAATGTTTCATGATTTTATCTGCTTGGCCACTGGTGGGCATGAAAATTGCTAGAACAAAAATAAAATCTCTGCATAACTTTCCTCTTTGCTTTATAGGTGCTAGACACAATTACAATTTAAAATTAGCATATAACTTCCTCATCACATAATCATACAGTAAACTATACAAAATATTTGTAAAACTGTAAGCAAATAATCCTAAACCATAAGTAAATGTCAAAAATGTGCTTACAGTTAATTGTGTAATTGGTAATTTTAGATATACAGAAAATTGTGTAATGTGACTAAATGTCTAAATGTAAATATGATGTTATTTGAATAAAGAAAAATCAAAGTTTTTTTCAAATTGATTACTAATTTGTAAACTGTTACTTTCACTTTACATAATACATTTTCTAAAGAAAATGTGATTTAATTCATGAGAGAGGTGTCTTTTTCTTAAAAGTTGCTGCTTTTTCATCATAGAATCCAAATATATTAATATTTTGATAGGGTTTCATTTGTAATTTACACTGTTGAAGGCTTTCTCTGTGTCAATAAAAACAATGCATAGGTCCTTCCTTTCTTCTATTTTTTTCATTTGACAGTAAGCCATAGCATGGCTGTTACCATGATTGAATAATGGGATATTGAGCTGTAATTCTTTATTTAGCCCAGTATAACATAATGTGTATAACGTATGAGTCATCTGTGTTTTAATTAAAATACCATTTCAAATGGGGTGAAGGTTTTATGATGGTGTAGCTATGCACCAATTTTTATTGCCATTATGAAGGTAATTTGCAACCATGAAGCAACAGTAAATTGCTGTTAGCATGAGGTACACAGTGGATTGGGTTATGTGAAAGGTTTTTATTTTTATTCTGGTCATTTTCTGTGGGATCACCATTATCTTTATACATTGTTATGGTTATTTGTATGAAAATGTAGTACTCTGTAATATTGTATGATAGATCTATAAATAAGATAATATCTAATTATCACAGAACTGTAGTGAATACATTTATAATTTTTAATACTTTTTATACTATTTTAAAATTATAATTTACATTTGCATTTTGTTTTATATTTTTAATATAGAAGATATAAATGTATTTGCATTATTAACTAGAATTTGTCATTTTTCTAACTTATTTTAATAATTTAGAAAAAAGTATGGAAATTATTGGAAGAAGATCCACTTTTTCATCAAGCACCTACTGCAGAACTAACAAGACAAGAATGCATTCATTTGTGTTTCCAGCAACACAAGCGTTTAATGGAATATAAATTTTTTACGGAAGAAGAATTTATACAAAATCCTGCAATGATACTGCATCTGACTTCATGTTTAGGAATGTATGATTGGTCGTTATCTTTAAAACGAATGCTAGGATACGAGGTAAGCTGATACATAAAATGTGTACATTAATTAAATCTTCTTAGTATTTAAATTTAAATCCATTAAATTGTTTTTTACATTAATACTTTATATTGTCCAACCACCTTTAAAATTTCATGCTAGTGAAGATGTTAAAACGTATAAAGATTCTATATCTTGTTATTAGCATAAAACTAATACTAATAGTAATGAGGTACGATTTTTATTAACTGATTAAAATTCAAAATAGAAGTTAAAATGTTCATGTGAGACATTATTTTATTTTAATCTTAAGAAATGAGACATTGTGGCTTCTCACTAAGGTGCAGTAAATGGAATTTTTATTTCATTATACAGTATTTACATATTTCATTTTTTATTTTTGTGTTTTAATTTATTATTTAGGCATTTAATTGTGTTATTTTTACCTTAAATAATGTGTATTTGCTGTTTAAGTTTATTGAAATGGATATTGTTTAGGGTCTGGAAATGGATTAATTCACTTTCCATTAATTATTTTTAATGGGGAAACTTGTCTCCATGAACAAATTAAATTTTGGTTCAAAGCACCATTGTATTTCAAAATTTTCTAAAATTAAAAGCATTTAAACTCCATTAAGATATGAGCTTTTTGGTGATTCTGATCTTTTTATCAATTTCATAACAGGCTTTAATAGAAATAAAACTTCTGTTAATTGTTTACTTTTTTAGAATTTTTAAAAAAGGAACTTATTATACAACTGTGTAGAGATAGACATTTCTGGTAAGTTCTGTAATAAGTTTTTAGGTATTTGACTAAGTTTATGCTGAAAAATAATATTCCTGGTTTTAACTATTGATTTTATACAAAATCATATTTTAATCAAAATCAATGTATACAAAAAAAAAAAGAAATCACATATAAATAAGGCATGAACTTAATAAAGGTTTATTTTGTGTGTTTTGCTATTAACAATCATATAACTATACTGTACATCTATTTTATATAAACATTTGTTATACAGTCGGCCCCCTATAACACTGTTGATTACTGTATTCTGTTTTATATAAATTCCATGTTGGATGGGTAACTTAGATTTTACAAATGCGTGTGCCGGGCTGTGAACGGCTCACATATTGGTAAAATCTAAGTGACTAATATATATTTGTAAAATCTAAGTGTATAATAGGTCGACTGTATTTCATCCAAAGAAAGAAACCATTTATGTTTGTTTGTATTACAGTAGGATCTGAATTCTTGAGGTTCCAATTTTACTTTTGAAAAAAGTAAAAGTTAGTTCATACTTGTGAGAATGAAAAAAGAAAAGAATGTGACTGTTCTCTTTTCTGTTATTGTTTTCACAGGTATTCACAGATAGTGTAATATTTGGTTTGTGAAATATTAGATTCATCCTGTTTACTGGTTTGAAGGTTGGCATTCCCCTCTTTTAACAATAGATTGTTATAATTTCTTAGCGTTTGTTGATGAGAAGAGTGACATTCAATCTTTTTTTTTTTTTTTTTGTGTGATGTTTTCTTAACGACTGCAATGGAAAAATTGGTTAAATTTTTCCATTGCAGTCGTTTTTCTTCAGACTTTTCTTTAATTTGGGAAAAATTTAACCAATTTTTCCCAAATTAAAGAAAAGTCAGGTCCTCGATCTCACAATTACAAATCTATGAAAAAGAGGAGGATGAACCCAATATACATTTTTGATATTTTGTACAAATTTTAAACGAAGATTTATTCAGATTTTGAATAAATATTTGTTATGTTATATTCGTCATATATTTAAGTAATATACAATTCAAAATATCCTAAAATGTAAAATGGTAATAAACATTTCTGTTTTATCATATTTTAGTTTATTTGAGCATATAAAAAAAATTCACACTAGAATTTATTTTCTGGGTGTGTGTTTGTTTGTTGATATGTTTTGAAACATTGTTTTCTGGGTGTGTTTGTTTGTTGATATATTTTGAAACATCAACAAACAAATGTTTGTTGATCAACAAACGTTTGTTGATATGTTTCAAAATATTATTAAATATTATAAATATTAAAAACGAACTTAATAAGTTTGTTTTTAATATTTATTAAAAACAAACTTATTAAGTTATCAAACATTGAATTAGAACAAAACGACTTCTATTTTTCCAAGATTATTAATTAAAAATTAAAATAAGAAAAACATTAAACTTAGAAGAATCTATTATTATTAAATGTAAAATAGGCTTTATTTGTTGTAATCATGTATTTTCTTATCAATTGTTTAATGCTATCAAAATTAGCATTCTCAAAAACATAAGTTAAAACAAAACTATAAAACTTAGCAATAACCAAATTTTGATTATAGCAATCTTTCAGTAAATAGGCATTTTTTAAAACTCATTTCATGCTATTATTCAGCTTGTAATCTTGATAAGTTCTACTTATCAAATCTGAATCAGTTGTTTTAAAATTTGCTTTTATTGTTGTTTGTTCACAATACAATAGTCTAAATCAGTGTTTCTCAAATTTTTTTGTCTGGTGGCACACTGAAATTATTAAACAAAATTCACAACACCCCTATTATTATTATTTTTTTTCTTTTTCTTTGTTTTTTTTTTTTTCGCTTTTTTACGGTTAGTAAAGATATGAAGGATGAGAAGTCTTTGAAAAAAAGAAAAGTTTTTTAAAGTAAGTAAGTTTATTTCCAAACAACACAAAAACATTCAAAACAAAAGTTATTATTATAAAGGTATCTAGTGATAAAATGTGAACTTAATGTGAAGTATGCGCCTGATAGTGTTTGTATATTTCCTTGATATTAGGTCGTGTTTTTGAGAGACATATCCTCATCTAATTTTCAAGTATTTCTCTCTTCTTTGTTTTAATATTTGAGTGTAGAGAATCCCACTTCACAGAGATACGATGTAGAAAACTGCAATAAAATATTAAGTGCTTTGAATCCTATATTGGGATATTCCTTCATAATTGTTATCCAAAATGAATTCAGACTCATTTCTGAATGCTTCAATCTTAACGTACGATCGTTACGTATATCAATTAATTCTTCTGCTTCTGCAAGACTGAACTTATTTCTGATGTTGTCTCTATAAAAGGATTTTGAATCCAGTCGTACAAATCAACTTATATGTCAGGTAAATAATGGTTAATTTTTTCTTCTAACGACATTAAATGACTGTAAATAAGTTTTTGCAAATTTGTATTGTTACATTTTCCTTTGGCAACTTGAATAAACATTTCTACATTATTTGCGTTTACTTTTATCTTCCACATTTTTATTTTATATTTAAAAGCTTTAATTTTATCTACAGATATTAAAATATTTTCATTTCTACCTTGCATGCTTGAGTTTAACTTGTTCAGGTGATCAAATATATCTGTTAAATAAGATAGTTTGGAACACCAAGAATCATTTTGTAATAATACACAAAATTCTGGTTTGTTTTCGTGTTGAAAAAATATTAATATTTCTTCAAGCTCAAAAACACGATTTAATATGTGACCTTTCGAAAGCCATCTCATTTCGGTATGAAGAAGCAGGTTATTATGATGAGATTGAATCTCTTCACATAGTTTTGCAAATATATGCGATTTTAATGATCTAGCTTTGATATAATTAACCATTTTTATGATTTTTCTAACACTCTTTTGAGTTCAGAGCCTATTGTCTTTGCTACCAATGATTCACGATGAATGAAGCAGTTACAATGTTTTCGTTTTGCTTTTTAGCGTATGAAACAAATCCTTTTATAGTTCCAATCATTGAAGGGGTGCCATCTGTGCATACACCCACACAAGATTTCCAAGATAGACCATTTGTATTAAAATATGTGTTCGTGATATCAAAAACATTTTTTCCTGCTGTAGTTTTTTCAAATTCCTTGCAGCATAAAAATTCTTTCCAAAATTTTATCATGTTCAATAAATCGAGTGAAGGCAAGTAATTGTGCTTTACCACGGATATCAGTTGACTCATCCAACTGCAAACTAAATAATTTTGATCCGATTATTTTATTTATAACTGATTTTTCAATATCACTAATACGTCTACTCATAGTGTCATTTGACGAAGGAATCATTTTTATTTCTTCTGCTTCAGCACCAAAAATTGTTCTCACAATTTCTGTATAGGCCGGGCGAATCAAAGTTTCACCAATAGTATGAGGTTTCATTTCTTTCGCGAGTATTTCTGCGACTAAATAACTGGCTTCTTGAACATGGTCAGCAATTGTATATTTTTTTTTACAAAACTTTTACTTTGTTTTTCTTGTAATTTTATCAGATCTTTGAAATATTCAAGAAGTTTTTAGACAAGTGATCATATTTTGTGGAGAAGTGTTGCAATAATTTACTGGGAACCATAGCTTCATTTGATAAAATTAAACCACACACAATACATTTTGGTCTGGGAATTAATTTATCACCACACCAGGTAAATCCCCATTTTTAGGTAACTGTCTTGATATAAGCGAGTTTTTACATTCTTTTTTAATGCAACATTTTTATGAGAACTTACTGTTTCTGTTTCTTTTGTTTCAATAGTGCTTGTTTGTTGCTCAACGTTAAAAATAGTCAAATCTTCACTAATAGAGCTCTCAATTTTTGATGATTTACTAGTGCTAATTGATTCCTTAGCTTTGCTACCAGTAACCACTTCTTGATCATTAGAATCTTCACGTTTTCTTTTTTTAATGAAAAAATTATTCGTGATATTTAACGACATAATTAACTTCAATATTTTATTATAAAATTTAATTACAATTTAATAATTTATTTTTTCTTGCTGTAAAGAAGAAAAAATATTTGTATATGATGCTTTTTCGTTATTGTCTGAACATATAACAATAATAAAAACAACTACTTACTGCATTCAACGCATTTATATTGCACTTCTACTCGTTGCAGGAACAGAAGAACAGACAACTAGTAACTAGTTCGTTTTGTTTCTAGTATTTACGTGTCGCCAATTACCGAGTCACTGAGACAAGTGGCGACGTAACAAGATTAGTAGAAAAACCAATATTCATTTTTT